GCCTATCTCCCCATCTGACTGTTGATTCGTATCCTTACCATCCTTTGTAGTAAATCAGTAATTTAGTGAGTAAATGGGTTTTCTGGAGTCCTGGGAGCCGTTCTAGCAAAGTAAGCGAACCTGAGGAGGGGGTCGCTGGAACCTCTGGTGGGTAGCTGGTCGGTCGGAGGACAGGTCACAGCCTGGGGAGGGGCTCACCTCTGCAGTCAGGGCAGTTGCGTGGGACTGAGCCTTCCCTGTGGGAGCCCACCTACTCCTGGCCAAGAGTGTCAGGGTTGAGCTGCATTCGCGGACCCCCTGCTGGTGTCCGAGAACTGCTCTTGGTGTGGGGAAGGGCCCCAGCCCCCCACGTTGGAACTGGGTCTAGGAACCCTTTCACTTGCTCAGGCCAAACCATTCAGAGTCGTACTTGACTCCTTTCTCGCACCCCACATATAATCTGTCTGCAGATCTCTTTGGCTCCACCTACAAAATATATCCAGAGGCTCCCCACTTCTCCCCACCTCTACTGCTCTCACCCTGGTCTCAGACACCTCTATCTCTCACCTGGATCTCTACAGTAGCCCCTGATTAGGCTCCCTCCTTCCTTCCTTGTCCACACGATGTGTTCTCAACACAGCGGCCAGAGGGAGCCTGTTAAAATCCAAGGGGGATTGCATCACCCATCTGCTCAAACCCTCTCGTTCCCACAAGGCCTAACATGGTCTGCTCATCTTCCCCTCTGGCCTCCTCGCCAGGCACACTGCTGTTCCTAGACCAGAACAAACTCACTTCTGCCTCAGGACCTTTGCACCTACTGTTCTTTTGCTGATGCGCCTCCTCCAGATTCCGTATGACTAGCTCCCTTGCCTACACGTACTTGGAATTTTTCCTGAGATGTCATCTTCTCAGAGGGACCTTCCTGACCATGCTATTTAAAACACCCCACCTCTCACACCCTCTTTCTTGCTTTATTTTCCTCCATTATCCTAGTCACCATCTAACATACTGTGTTTTTTACTGTCTGTGCTGCCCCTCCCCACCCCCATTAGAGTGTAAGTACCATGAGGGCAGGATTAATGTCTGTTTTGTTCACAAATAGATTCTCAGGGTCAACAACAGTGCCTGGCATGTGATAGCTGTTCAATAAACGATTGTCAAATGAATGACCAGAGCCAAAGCTAAGAGAGATCATATAACTCAATTGCCATCATACAGCCTGCTAGTGGTAGCACCAGAATTTAAAGCGGGGTTTGTCTGGCTTTCAGTTCAGGGTGGGGGTGGAGGAGAAACAGCACTTATAGCCTAGGCCACGGGGAGGGGTTGGGGTGGCGGCAGATCCAATCAGCAGGAGAAAGGAGCCGTGTGGTCACAGAATTTGTGCACTTGGCCACAGCCAGGAAATTGCTGCACGAATTTCAGCAAGTCCGTTCCCCTCTCGGAGCCTCGGCCTCGGCGTCCTCCAGGGGCCGGCGGGGGGTTGGAAAGGTGCGTCTGAAGGTGCCTCTCCCGCTCACGTGCCGGCACTCCAGCCCTTGCTCACTGGGCACACGGTGGCCTCTGGGCGCACATCAGTTTCCCTGGCCCCCGCCCCTCTGGCACCAGCAGGAAGCCCTGGGCTGGCTGGTGTGTGCCCAGGAGAAAGTGACAAGAGGCAGGCTGAGAACCTTACAGACTTACCTGGCATGGTAAGTCCCTAGGAAGGGGCAAGACCTGGCTGGGGGGTCTGCCTGCCCATCCCTGCAGCTCCCAAGGGGGACTCTGCTCCTTCCACGTCCCCCGACCCCATCCCGGCCAGCATCCCTGGACGCCCGTCTCCCTCTTCCCCTGGCACCAATTGCCCGGGGACAGCCCCAGATGGCTCCCTGGCCCGGGGACAAAGGCCATACTGTGCCCGGCCCTGGGCTGGCCTCAGGCTGGGTCACACGGAGCCCTTCTGTCCCCAGATGGGGGTGAGGGGCAGACAGCACCAAGGTGACAGCCCTTTTCCTGTCTCCCTTCCCCCTCGACCCCCAAATCTGAGGAGCTGACGCTCCCAAGAGAAAAGTGACAGAGCATCTTGTGTCTTGAGCTTGGGAACAACAAACCATTCACTGCCCAGTCTGCCCTGTCACACCCAAGGCCCTGCCGGGTTCAATGCCCCGATTGTCCCCAGCAGAGAGAGAGGCGTCCACTCTCTGCTGTGGTCACCACCCCTGCTGCCTGCTCCCCTGTCACCATCAGGAAGTTCATCCCTACATCTGACCTCCAGTGCTCCTGCTACAGTGACAGCCGCTTCCTCTTGGTCTCTTCTCAGGCTGGGTGGAGAACAGCTGGTCCCCAGCCCTCTGCATCACTTGGCCCCACATTCCTGCTTCAGCCAGCTGTCCCCAGTTTCACCCTCCCTCTGGCTCCCTGTCCCACCTTCCATCCCGCCCCAGGCTCAAGCTGGCGGCTCCTTGCTCCTAACTGACCTGCGGGGAGAGCAGGTGCAGTTCAGGGCTGGTTTCCCTTTGTCTTGGAGAAATGGGGGGGGGGGCCTTCCTCCCAGAAGGCTTTAATGAGCTCCTCTCCCCCGCCCCCACAGGCAGGAGCAAGGGCGTGAGATTTATGGCGGCTACTGGGAGATTCCTGAGCCACAAACCCAACGCGCCATCCCATAAATCCCAGACTGCAGGACGGCTTTATGGGGGAGCCCTGTTTTTAGAAGGGGGTGTGGCTTGCCCCTCTTGGCAGAGCTCAGACCTCAGGCAGACAAGCGCCTGCGCCCCCCAGGACTGGGGCATGCGTTTGTGCAGGGCAGACGTTTCCTCCCCTTTTCCCGCATGTCCTGCTCACTCAGCAAGCCCTCTGCCTCCTGCGCCCGCCCCACCAGCTCTGAAGGTTCCCCATCTCAGCTCAGTAGGGCAGTCTGGAAACCTGTGGAATGTCCACATCACTGGGAATGCATTTTCCCAGGCATCATGCTCAGAGCCTCAGTTGCAGGATCTGAGGGTGAGACCCAGGAATCTGAATTTTTTACAGTACTCCCTGGTAATGCGGATGTTCAGCCAACTTTGTAAGCAATTGATGTCTATAGTGGGGACATCTCCACTCTCCTGTCATGCCGGGAAATATGAGTCAACAGCTAGGACGTGTCTAGGTCCTCCTGTCGCTGTAACCCTTATGGGCTACCATCATGAAGCCTCCGTTATGGGTCCCCCAAGGCTGGCTGCACACAGGAGTGCCAGGCTGCCCCCTGGGAGCTTCCTGTCTTTGAGAATCCTGCAGACAGCAGGTCTAAGACATTGCACAGAGCCACAGAGGAGCGGCTGAGGTTGGGTGGCAGGAGTGAGCCATGGGACAGCATCGGGGAAGTCCAAGGCCCGTGGGCTTTGCCAAGGAGGCTTTCGGCTGCCTGTTCATTGAAGGAAGCTGCACCAGCCCCTGAGTTCCTTGACAGTAGGGACCACGCTTTACTCACACTGCAGTCCCCGGGCCTAGTGCACAGCCTGGCACGTGGCAGGGACTCAGTCCTCGTTTGTCGAGCTGACCCGAGTGGGACTTTGGGGCCCACTGACAGAGGCTTAGCTGGCAGGACAGACCCGAGGCCTCTGAGAGGTGCCAGCCTGAGGAAGGAGGGCCTGGCCATACCCGGTCTCTGGGTTCAGGGGAGGTGGAGGGCCACAGCTTAGCTTCATTTGGGGGCAGCCAGGAGCCTGCAGGCCCAGGGAAAGGACCCTTTTCAGGCTGGCTGAGGACTGAAGGATGTGATCATTAAGCAAAGCAAACATGTTACTGACCCATAATCCCTTAAACCAGGAGGATCCAGGAGGGGCCTGGTTGCCTTGGCAACTGGGTACCGACCGGCCAGTGACAGGGCTGAGAGCATCCTCTGGGAATGGGTGGTGCCTGGTGCATGGTAAAAGCTAGGGGAGGGTGCAGGCTGGCCCCTGATGCCTTTCTGGCAGGTGTGAGTGGGGGCTGTTGCGAGGCCTCTTGGTCCTGGCCCCACCGCACTGCCGCTGAGGGAGATGCTGGGCAGAGCAGGATGAGGGGGCGGCCACACTGGGAGCTTACGAAACCGTGGAGGAGAGACAGACAGACTCACTCGGGGTCTGGGGCAGGACAGAGAAGAAAGGCCTGCGAGAAGAAGCCGTTGCACGAGGCTCACTGGGAGGCCGGCAGCAATTCTCCTGACTCAGGGCCGCAGGGCTCAGGAGCCCATGGAGGGAGCTCCTGCTGGCTGGGGAAGGGGCTGAGGAAGAGTGGAGCAGCCTGCCCCTCTCCCTGCAGCGTTCTCCACAGTGGACGCCCTGCCGTCTGGGGTTCCTGTGGGCGGCCCAGCAGAGCTCAGCCTCCCCTCCCCAGGGGGCCTCTCTGTTTCCCGCCAACTTGTGTTTCCCATGAGACCTTCAGCTGCTCCTAACCTCCCAATTTCAGCTAGAGAGATGGGGCTGGGCCAGCTCAGATGCAAACATCCCCTCCCTCATCCTTTCCTCTTTTCCTGTCTCCTGGGGGCCCAGGACAAGCCAGACAGGGACCTTCCGGTGTCGGTATCAGGATGAAATGGGGTTTAAACCAGACTGTGTCGCAAGGCCAGGCTGATGCTCAGCTTACGGGCATCAATCACAAGGTCTCTGGCTGTTGATGTATTCAAGCGCTGACACACAAGTTGGTGAAGAGCTGCTGGCCCAAGGGCCCCACCAGCCCTCCTTCCAGAACTCTCTAGACCTCTGACAGCTAAAAGTTCACCGTCTGGCCCTGCGGAGGCCCCCAGGATCCATTGGCCCATCATACCACTGTTATATGGGGTACTTTGCTGTTCTGACTGAACACATCGTGAATATCTCCCCAGGGGCAGGGAATCCTGGGGGATGAGAGCCACAGGGAGGAGAAGGGTTAGGACCACCGTCCAGGAGCTCCAGCTTTGGTGGAGAAGTGACCTTCGCTCCCAGTGCAGGGTAACAGAGCTCGACGGGAAGACGGAGAGCAAGACCCGGATTCACATTGGTGTCGACTGGACCCTGTGCCTTGTTCTCACCACTCTCCTCCCGCCTCAGGACCTGGCCACCTGGTCCCTGCCGATCATGAACAAGATGAAGAACTTTAGGCGCCGCTTTTCCCTGTCAGTGCCCCGCACTGAGACCATCGAGGAGTCCTTGGCGGAGTTCACAGAGCAGCTGAACCAGCTCCACAACCGGCGCAATGAGGGTGAGGAAGCCAGCTCTGGCCCCAGTGTCCCGCCAAAGCCCATCCCTGCCTCCCTGACCACACTGTCACCGCGGGCCTTGGGGGGAAGGACAGAGGTGGGGAGTAGACTCCCCTCTCCTCCCCTCGCTCAGCGCCGAGGGCAGGGAGGGGAGCTGATGTCTCTGCCTCTCAGACCTGCAGCTCAGTCCTCTTGGCAGAGACCCCCAGCCAGAGCCCAGCACCTTCTCCCCCCCAGATGGTGGAGAGGACCCCAGGCAGCCGTCCCCTGGCACGCGGTACCGGCGCCAGAACCAGCGCCGCTTCTCCATGGAGGTAAGGGGCGCAGGGCTCTACCCTTTAGCCTGGCAGGATGCACCCACAAATGCATGCCCAGGAGGCTGGTTGCCTTGGAGCCAGACTTCGTGGGTTCAGATTCCAGCTCTGCCATCGATTATCTATGTGACCTTGAGCAAGTTTCTCAGCCTCTGTGTACCACAGCCTCCTTGTGTTACAATGGTCATCGTGAAGATTAAATGAGTTAATATATGCCAAGTGCTTAGAACATTCCTGGCACTAGACAATTTGACTGTTGTTCTTATGACCCATATGCATGTGCCCAAGTATAAGAAAAATGTGCTTACAGAACGGCAGAGTCTGCAGGAATCTCATTCTGCAGATGATGATAGTGCAGCCCAGAGGTGGGGGGACCTCCTAAGGTCACACAGCAACCGCTGGGGTTCACAGCTGTCTCTGAGCACGTCTGTGAAGCCGCTGTGAGCCTGGGTCACAGCCGTCGTTTGGCCCTGCTGGGGATGCCCCAGGGGAAGCCAGGCCCAGGGGAGAGGCAAGGGTCCCACAGCGCTAGGAGCAAACCCTAGTGCCCCGGTCTCATCTCGGCCACTGTAGGACATCAGTAAGAGGCTCTCCCTGCCCACGGACATCCGTCTGCCCCAGGAATTCCTGCAGAAGCTACAGCTGGAAAGCCCAGACCTGCCCAAACCGCTAAGCCGCGTGTCCCGCCGTGCCTCCCTGGTGAGTCCCTAGAGGGTCAGAGGTCACCCTCTCCCTAGGAGGCACACGTCACTCCTGGTTTGCAGGTTCCCGCCAAGGCCTGTGGCGGTTTCCAGGGAGGTTCCCAAGCCTCTGGCGCCACCTGCTGGCCACAGCGGATTTATATAGCTGGACCTCCTTGGTCAACATCCACTCCCTGGGTGGGTCCCCACAGGGCCAGAGCTGGGCTCCAGGCCCCCTCTGGGCCCCAGGGTCTCTTCCAGATGAGATCAGTAGACTGGCTGGCACATGCTTCTCGTCCTAGCTGCTTATCAGATTTGCTTGGGACCATCTGACAAAACACGGACTCTGGGCCCCCCTCCAGATACCTACAGAATCAGACTCTGGGGGGCGGGGCCCAGGAATCTGTACTTTTGAGGGTTGGGCACCACTGAGCTAGAGGCAGTGTGCTGATGAGAGCAGCTGTCGGGGTGGTGGGCTCTGAGCTGGCGCTCGAGGTACAGTGGAGAAAAGGACAGGCCCGCCCTCTAGGAGCTGGCAGTCTGAGCGGCAGAGAGGCAGAGACAGGCAGGTGAGAAGGGGGCGCAGCAGCTGCAGGCCCGGCCCTGCACCCCCACTTGGAAGGGCTCCTGCCCATCACAGGGACAGAGGGAAGACGCGAAGAGGAAGGATTTGTAGCTGTCCTCACCGCAGCTAGCCTCAGTTGTTTCCTCTCCCTGACGGGAGTCTCATTTCCTTGCCACCTGCAGGCTGCGTTGGGGGGGTAGTGTCTGTGGGGCTCCTGGGCCTTCAAGCTCACAGGACCCCATGTCTCTCCCTCTCAGTCAGACATCGGCTTTGGGAAATTGGAAACGTATGTGAAACTGGACAAACTGGGGGAGGTAAGAGGCTGGGCCTGGTCCTCTTGGGGCACCGGGCATCCTAACTGTCCTAGCCCTCAGGTCTCCCCTGCTTCTCTGCTCTGCCCCCGCCCTGCCCCTGCCCCAGAGGTGCGCACGATCTTGGCCTTTGGTGGGCTCAGGTCGTGCAGGAGGGCAGGAGGCTGGAGTTGCCCATGGGCTCTGGGCAGAATCTACTCCTTTTTCTGTGAGTGTTTCTTGTCTGGGTTCAAATCCCACCTCCACTTATTAGCTCTGTGGCCTCGGGCGAGTTATGTGACCGCTCTCTGTGCCTCAGTGTCTTCCTGTGTTGAATGGAGAGCGTAACTGTCCTGCCTCATAGGCTGTCACGGGGAGGGAAGAGCTTCCTGCTGAGAGCTTTCTGCAGTGCGGACAAGGCCAGGCACACAGCAAGTGCTGTGGAACCATGAGCTCTTTCCGCTGTGTCTGCGCCAGGCTTTGTGTTCCGGGCTGGGGGAGGGCAAAGGTTTGCAGGAGACACAGCCCTCATTCCGGGAGCCAAAAGGAGACCCGCATGTCAACCTCAACAGAGTACGAGGAAGGGCCAGGAAGGGCCGAACTGGAGTCAGAGCAGAGAGCACTGGCCTGCTGGGGGCTTAGAAAGCAATAGCCACTCTGACTGGGAGGCGTTAGGGACAGCTTCGCAATAAGTGGGTCTGGAGGAAACAACTTCAGTGAAGGGAGAAGGGGAGCCTCTGGCCATGTCCCAGCCAGGCAGAGGCACCAAGGGGAGGGCTTGGACAGAGGAGGGCACGGCCTGAAAGGCCAGTCTGCCAGCGGTCTTGTTCCCAGGGTACCTATGCCACCGTCTTCAAAGGGCGCAGCAAACTGACAGAGAACCTCGTGGCCCTGAAGGAGATCCGGCTGGAGCATGAGGAGGGGGCGCCCTGCACTGCCATCCGAGAGGGTACAGCCTCCTAGGGTCCTGCGCTCCTGGGGCCTTCCCGGAGGAAGGGCTTATTGACCCGAGCTACCGTGGGAACCTGGGGGTGGAGGGTCATTCCTGGAGTGAGGACTTCTGAGGCTGATGCCAGGAAGCGAGAGTCTGAGGGGCACATGGGGCCCCAGAGACCCAGGCGGGCTGTCTCCCCACAGTGTCTCTCCTGAAGAACCTGAAGCATGCCAATATTGTGACCCTGCACGACCTCATCCATACGGAGCGGTCTCTCACCCTGGTGTTTGAGTACCTGGTGAGCTGGGCTGGGGCGGGCAGCTTGTCCTCCTGTGGGAGGGGAGGGAAGCAGGTGGGGAAGGGGGTGGGGGTGGCCCAGGCCTTGTTCTGGAATCAGGTTCTCAGATGCTCTCATGCAGGCTTAGAGGCAGCTCGGAGCCCAGGGCCCTTTCCTACTCCTGGGCTTGGGCCCGGCCCAGGGAGGGGCTTCTGGCCTGAGGTCAAGACAGGGCAGGGTTGAGCGAAGCTCTGTGTCCCAGGACAGTGACCTGAAGCAGTATCTGGACCACTGTGGAAACCTCATGAGCATGCACAACGTCAAGGTGAGACCCTCCATAGCTGGGACTCCACCCTCGGCGTTGGTATACAACCACCCCCAACTCTGAGCGTCAGTTTCCCCATCTGTCAAATGGGAGCATGAGTTACCTGCCAGGAGGAAGGGGGGCTTCCAGGGGAGCTCGGAGGGATGCAGGACCTCTTCTGTGCACACTCGTCCCAACACAGGTGGGCTTCCTGGCCCTTCATGGCCCCCCAGCTCCCAGGCCTGAGAACTCTGGCCTTCACCCTACTGCTCCTCCACACGCCTGGTGCCCTCTCCGCTGGATGGGTTCCTTGGGGTGATGGGGCCTGGGGCGGGGCTGCAGTGTGGGCAGGAGAACCAGGTAGCTCTCCAGGTACACCCACCACCCATCCCGATCCCCATCCCAGCCGTGGGGTGGAGGCACAGGGTCTCCCCGCTGGGACACGCTCCCACCTTCTACTGCTCACCTTCCTCTTCCCCTCTCCCAGATTTTCATGTTCCAACTGCTCAGGGGCCTTGCCTACTGCCACCGCCGCAAGATCCTGCACCGGGACCTGAAACCCCAGAACCTGCTCATCAACGAGAGGGGGGAGCTGAAGCTGGCTGACTTTGGTGAGGGCTGGAGTCCGTGGGGCTGGGGTGGGGGGTCTGACACAGTCTCCTTCAGACGCAGGTCCCCCGAGGGAGGGAGGCTCAGTGACGTGTCTGTCCCTAGGACTGGCCCGGGCCAAGTCCGTGCCCACAAAGACCTACTCCAATGAGGTGGTGACCCTGTGGTACAGGCCCCCGGATGTGCTGCTGGGGTCCACAGAGTACTCCACCCCCATCGATATGTGGTGAGTGATCACCGTGGGACCCAGGGGAGGAGGGCGTCTTCCACACCTCCAGACTCCCTTCTGCTGCCCCACGGGCCTCCGCGAAGACCTCTCTAACCTCCTTTAACTAAAAGCCATGTGGCATCCCGCTGAACTGGATTTTAAAGAATTAAGTCTGAGGGGCTGCCTGGTGGTGCAGTGGTTAAGTTCGTGCCCTCTGCTTCGGCGGGCCAGGGTTTGTGGGCTCGGATCCCAGGCATGGACCTACACACTGCTCATCAAGCCATGCTGTGGCGGCCTCCCACATACAAAACAGAGGAACATGGGCACAGATGTTAGCCCCGGGCGAATCTTCCTCACACACAAAAAAGAATGAAGTCTGAACTACATTGGGGTTTCCCTGACTGTAGGTAGCCTCTCCAAGCCCATGCTTCTGAAATGTTTCCCCAGGGGCATGTAGGGGGTTACCAGAGGGTACAAGAAAGCTCCACAGTAAATATGATGACTCGTCCCCCACCATCAGGTTTACTGAAAATTGTGGAAACGATATATTATTTTTATGTTAAAATTAACAGGCATGTGATTTGGCGTGGAATGAAAACTCAGCCCAATTTCAAAGCTAAATCAAAGGTTTCCAATAAATGGCCAGTGTGTCCTGTGCCCAGGGTCCCCTAGGAGAACGGATATATGGACTTCTCTCTTGGATGGGGCACACGTGGAAAGGGTTTGAGACAACACTGCATAAGTACTGCCACATGCGTGCTGGCCATGCAGACCCAAACCCTACAGAGTGAAAAGGGAGAGGTCAAAGCGTTCTAGACCCCGGAGAAGCCCCAGAGAGGCTGTGGTGGGGCCTGGGCGGTGCCAGGAGACTCGCTGCCCTGGGCCACCCACCCCAGACCGTGACCCATCCAAGGCGCGGAGGTAGGGCGTCGCGGTGCAGCAGCCCTCGGAAGGGCGGCCGAGGAGGCCCAGCCTGATGCCGCCCCTGCGCATTGCTCCCCGCAGGGGCGTGGGCTGCATCCACTACGAGATGGCCACCGGGAGGCCCCTCTTCCCCGGCTCCGCCGTCAAGGAGGAGCTGCACCTCATCTTCCGGCTCCTCGGTCAGTCTCCTGCGCACCCGCCTCTCGCCACCAGGAGGCGCCGGGACTCCGTGCAGCCCCGGGCGCCGGGCTAGCAGCCCGCCCGCTCGCCACCTCCCGACCCGCGGCCCCTGCGGCTACCCCGCCCCCGACGTCGCGCCCCTTCACGCCCCTCACCGCCCCCACCCCCTCTCGTCTCCCCAGGGACCCCTACAGAAGAGACGTGGCCTGGCGTGACGGCCCTGTCGGAGTTCCGAGCCTACAACTTCCCCCGGTACCTCCCGCAGCCGCTCATCAGCCACGCCCCCAGGTAGCCCTGCCCCCCACGCCTCTCCTACTCGCGGGCCTGGCTGTCCCTCCTGGGGGCGGCCACACACACCTCCCCCCACCCCGCCGCACCCAGTGCCAGCTCCTTCTCCTGCAGGTTGGACCCTGAAGGCATCAACCTCCTGACCAGCCTCCTCCTGGTGAGTGCTCCGCGGGGCCCAGGGACGGGCAGGCAGAGAGCTGATGCCCGAGACCCCAACCCCGCCCCCTGTGTAACTAGTCGGAATGTCCCTGTGCCCCGTACTCCACTCTGAGGCCCCGGAGGAGCGCTGGCTTTCTTCCACACCGACTTCCCTACTCAAACCCCAGTTCAAACCCACTTACTAGCTGTGTAGCTTTGGGCAAGTTACAGAACATTTCTGTGCTTCAGTTTCCTCCAATGCAAATTGGAATTAATAATTCACATTTCGTAAGATGGTGGTGAGGGTAAACTGAGATTATGGAACACACTTAGTGTGGTGCCTGTCTGGAATAAGCACACGACAAAGGGCAGTTGTTAGGGTTACCTGTTAATATTCCTATCGTTGATGGCATGGTCATGGTTGCTTTAGCACCTGCATTTCCATCCCAAGGAGCCGTCACTCTCCAGAAGTTCCATTTTTGGCTTTCTCTTGGTGGCCAGAGACCTGGGAGCCCGAGGCCTGAGGCTTCCTTGGGTTGGGTTAGAGGTGGGGCCTGGCAGCCGACCCCAGGGCTTCTCAAGTTAGATGCAGGCCCCTCCCATCCTGGCCGTCTAACTTAGCATAGGAGTAGCACAGCCAGAGGGCTCCCAGTAGCCTGCCATGTGCCTTTCAGTATGAATCCAAGAGCCGCATGTCCGCAGAGGCTGCCCTGAGCCACCCCTACTTCCGGTCTCTGGGCGAGCGCGTGCACCAGCTGGAAGACAGTGAGTGTCTGGGGGAGGCGAGGGGAGGGGAGGGGTGGGGAGGCCCCAGAACCAAGGGAAGGGGCAGCATGTATGGGCAGAAGAGCCAGAGCAAAGAGGCCCGAGGCCCCGGGTCCGGCTGAGCAGCCTTGGGCACATGGCTTCCCCTCCTTGGGTTCTCATGGGTCCCCAAGGGGCCAAACTCTGGATCTGAGATGCTGCCTGAAAGGCCCAGTCAGGTGCTCCTGGGTGAGTCCTAACTGAAGTGGTCCCCCAGCCGGGGGTGCTCCCAGCTCGGTAGTCTCAATGGGAATGGGGGCTGCAACTCCAGGAGCAGGCCCGCCTCCACCCAGCTGTCCCTGCCGTTCTCCTCTCTCACCCCAGCTGCCTCCATCTTCTCCCTGAAGGAGATCCAACTTCAGAAGGACCCAGGCTACCGGGGCCTGGCCTTTCAGCAGCCAGGTAGGGATTCGTGCCTCCCTTCCCCTTCCAGGAGACCAGGGCAGGCTGCTCCTCCCTCTCAAGGAACAGAGACGGTGCCTGGCAGCTCCTCCCATGACGGAGAGTCAGCGTGGCCTCCCTGACATTGGCCTTCCTTCCGGGGGCCCGTGGGGAGCAGGAAAGGGGCCAGTTTCCCTATCTTCTGCCCAGGCTTCCTCCTCCAGTGTCTCCCTCCTCAAACCCCACCCCAGAGAGAACTCAGCTTCTGACAGTAGCCCGACAAAGGCGGGGCGCTCTCTGGTGCGTTCTCTCTGCAGACTCTGAGCTCTCCATCTTGCTTCCATTCTGGGAGAACTGTACCTTGTCTGTAGGACAGCTGATGGCCTCGGACGTGACGTGTTCATGCGTTATCTCATTTAATCCTAAAGCACCCCTCGAAGGTGGTAGTATTAATGCTCCCCGTCTCGCAATCAGTGAAACTGAGGCTCGGGAAGGTGAAGTTGCAATTTCACGTAGCTAGTGAGTAGCAGAGACGGGATTTGAACCCGGGACTGACTGGCCCCTGAGCACATGCTCTTGCCGGCTCTGTTGGAGTAGGTCTGTAGCACACCCGTCCCTCCTGTGGCTGGCACCCTCCCGCCCAGCCTCCTCCCTGCAGTCCATCCTCTTACCCTCTGTTCTCCAGGACGAGGGAAGAACCGGCGACAGAGCATCTTCTGAGCTGTGCACACCCTGCTGTGGCATGAGGGACAGAAAGTCACACGGCACCACTGGGGGCAGGTCGGGGCCTGCGTGCCCTTGGAAGACTGAGGAGCGGGGGCTAGCGGCCAGCCCAGAAGACCTTTCAGCAGCCCTGCTGGCCACGGCTGTTTCCTCCCGCTGCCTCCTGCACGCCTCCCCAGGGGCCTTGGTCTGGACGTCAAGCCCTCTGTCACCTGCCCTGGGGCTGGGCGTGAGCTGCTTCCCTGGGAGGAGGTAAGGGGCAGGGAGCGACCTCAGACACTTTCCACCCTGAAGTGCTCAGGCACTGGCATGGGACCCACAGGAGAATCCAGGTGCCGGGTGGAGCGCTGTGCCCTGGACACGGGCACCACTTGGCCTCTCCCCGGGGCCTGCGTGCCTCAGCAGTTTGGTAGAGCCCCTTACAGACCCCTTGGAGCCTGCACGCCTTTCACCTTTTTTTCCTCTGAGAGCAGGAAGCAATATGGCATCTTGTCTGGCACCCTGGAATCCAGGTACCAATGCTTGTGCCAAAGCCCACCCCCCACTTGAGGGGAGGGTATCCCCTGAGGGACAGAGGGAATCGTAGCCCATCCCCTCTTCTCATCACCCACCCTATTCCCCTTCCCCCCTCCTTGCCTGAGGCCCCATAAGCCACTTGATGCCCGGCTGAGTCCAGAGGTGGCCTGGTACCGCCAGCTGCACTCCTGCCACCTCTGCCAACCACACCCGTCTCCCCAGTCTGAATGGGACTGCCTTACGTTGGCAGGTGGGAGAGCACTCACTGCCCTTGGAGCTCTGAGCCGGGCTCCTCCCTGTCCACCCTTTCCTGGGAGCACCTCCTGCTTATCAGGCCTGAGCACTGATAAGCAGCCCTGGGCCAGCGTCCTGGGGACAGCACCCAGGTATGCAGGGTCGCCCTGACGCTGGTGCCAGGCCAACTGCGGCTCCTTGGGGCTGGTACAGCCTCCGCCATCCCTCCTTCCCAGCCCCTGTAGCCCTGTCTTTGCTCCACCTGGTATCCTGGCACCAGCTTCCCCAGAGGGTGGTCACAAGAGTAAGGGTGTAAATGCCACAGTCTGAGGTGGAGGAAGGTGGAACAGGACAGGACAGGCTTTGATCCTGAGAGCCCTGCCCCAGGGGGCTGGGAGTATGAGGGGTGAGGGCCGCTGAAGAAGGGCCCCTCACCATCCCTCTGGAGCACCCCCATTGTATTCCCAAGGCCTCCACAGCACTTGGCTGAATCTTGAATGGCAGGGCCAAGGGGAGGCCAGGCCCAGCCTTCCTACACAAGCCCCCTGCCTAGTCCAAGCCCCTCAGCCTGAGGAGCAGCCCTGAGGGTCTTGGCCCCCCACAAGTCCCCCCATTCCTCCCCCACCATACTGTGAATGTCCCATGACTCAGCACAAAGACGGATAATATATTTAATTCATGTTGTACAGAAAGGAGGGAGCAGTCTCCTGCAGAAAAGCTGGTTTTGACAGATTGGTGCCAAAGAGGAAAGACGAAGGCCCTTCTGTGGGCCTCATGAGTGTGGGCGGGGCTTGCTTGTGTGTGTGTGTATATATACAAGAATGAAGTGGAGAGAGAGTTTGGTTTGTGTGCATCTCTGAACCCACCCTGGGCTGTGGGAGGCGTGCCCTGCACCCTCCCTGCTGCGTTCAGGGCGGGCAGTCAACTCTGGGTGTTGTGGGTGGCATGGACGGGGCCTGGGACCCTACACTCTGTATCCCAGCCTTGGCCGAGGTTGGTGCCTGAGGGGTGGGGGCAGCTAGGAGAGCCAGGAAGGAGCTGGGGAGAGGTCTGGGGTTCTGGCTACTGTAGCTGATCCCTGTGCTTCCTGACTTCTTGGAAGAGAGGGTGGGAGGGCAGTTCAGGAGAGGGTTGGCATGGGGGGTGACTGAGGCCAGGGCAGCAGGACAAGGGTACGAGCCTCACTGACTCTGGCCCAGCCTGACGGCTGAGAAGCTTGACGACTCCTTCTGCTGCCCAGGCCACGTCTTGCCTGGGGTCTGCACGCAGCCTCCTTTTGCACGGTCTCGGGAGTTCTCCATCCTGATCTGTTTCCCAATTCAGCGTCCAGGTGTTCTCCCCAGACTGCACCTCCTGACCCCCCCATCCGGCGGCCTCACGTCTGGCCGTGAGAACTCCAATTCGCTGGCATCCGCAAGGGGCGGCTGCTTTCCGGAGGAGGAAGCTAGTGTCGAGAGGTTGGGTGATGTCTCCCCAGGCCGTGGAAGTGAGGGGGGACCAAGCATGATTCTGCACCCAGCACCAATGCCACCAGCCTGACCCTCCTCACCTCTTTGTAGGCAGCCAGACACCGAAGTGTAGGACAGTCAGTGCTCAGGGGGAGGCCAGAGCCGGAAACGCACGGGCGGGAACCAGAGTTGGGCCTTTGCAGCCAAGTTTGGAAGGAGACCAGAAGGGACCTGACTGATTAAGCTCCCGCCATGTAGCAGGCACTACAGAAGGTCTCACAGAATCCCACAACAGCCCCGTTTCTCCCCTCTCTGCAGAGGGGGACAGTGAGGTTCCTAGGGGTTAAATGACTTGCCCAGTCACAAAGCAAATGAGAGTCCCGGGTCTCTCTGCCACCCCAGCCCTTGGTCTTCAAGGAGGGGAAGGAGTGAGAAGAGGAAGAGTGTGGACAGCGTGGGCCCCAGGAGCCAGGGAAACCAACGCGATGAAGGCCCCAGGGCCGACGCTGCTTTGCGGGAGTACCTTGATGACTGATGTGTCCCTGGCAGCTGCAGCCCCCACCTCACAGGCTCCTGCCCCTTGGAGAGTCTTCCTGAGGCAGCTGTCCTTGCTCCTGCAGCTGGGGTCCTATCGTGGAGGCTCTCGTGGGTGGGGGCCCTTCCAAGGTCCCTGTTGGAGGCAAGGCACTCTGAGCTTCTGCCCTGGAAGGCTGGGGGGCGGCGCTGGACAGGCTCACACCAGGCCTTGTGTGTTACAGGCTTTCAGTGGGAAAAAGGATTGTTCTGGAGAAGGAAACTGGAGGGGCTGCGCGACTCTAGTTCTGAGCTGCTGGGGCAGGAGTGCAAGGGCTGCCGCCAGGCTCTCCAGGGCCCAGACAGCCACAACACAGGGCCGGTGTCCTGGAGCCCTGTTCCTGGGCCCCCCACCATCATGTCCTTACCCCAAATGGCTCTCACAAACGGGCCTGCCCCATTCCGCTGGAGTCCCTGGGCAAAAGCACCCTCAAACAAGTCATCTCCCCCTCCAGCCTCGATTTTTCATCTGTTCCTGGGATGGGGGATGCCTCAGGAATGCCCGCGCCCCACCGGCCTTTCCCTTCCCTCTGCTCCTTTGGCAGGCACATTTGTAGTTTGCAGCAACCCTGCAGCTGCCTCACAGAGGTCCTATTTGATGGTGGCTGCAAGGGTGGGGGGGTGACACCGACTCCCCTGATGGGCCCTGCCCCACCCTGGTGGGACCTGGGGCTGGCTCTCCGCTGCCCCACTCTTGCCTTCCTGTGGGCTCCCGATGGTCCCGGTCCAGTGGTCAGGGCTGATGCCCAACAGGTGACCTTTCCCTTTGCCCTGCTGGCTGCCTGGGCCAGCCAAGTGTTGGACACTGTTGCCAGTCCTCCTTTTCTTCCTCCTTGAAGCAGCTCAGCGGCTGTCAGCCCATCTTTCCGCCTCCACCTTTGTTCTCTCTCCTGCTTCCAGTGCTGACGCTCCACAGCACCCTTGAGTCCCGCTGTCTCCAGAGCAAACCATCGGCACCACAAATTGGCCACAACCTGGCCCTGTGCTGGGCGCCAGGATGCCCAGATGCGTGCCTCTCTGCCCTCGCCTTCCCAGAGCTCTCACCTGCCAGCTGAGATGGCCTTTCCTTCCGCAGATTCTTGCCGGGCACCCACTGTGTGCCAGGCATGTGCAGGGCACGGTGGACGGGCCGTTGAACAAGACCGCCACGTCCTGCTCACAGAGCTTAGAAAGACCTCACACAGATGAACCCACCGCACATCAGGGGTCAAGTGCGATGAAGTAGAGTCAGGCAGAGTATGCCGGGGTTGGGGGGAGGTGCGGATGTGACGCCATGGCACGGGACGGGCTGACATCCACCTGTCAGGGCCTCTAATGAGACCTTGTAAGGGGGAGCCATGTGGACCCCAGGGGCAGTATTCCAGCAAAGGCCCTGAAGGGAGCCTGCTTGAGGATGAGCAAGGAGGCGGTGGGCTGGAGCGCCATGCCGGCCGGCTCTCACCAGCTCTGCACGGCCAGCATTTAGGAGGAACTGATGCTCTGCTCCAGCTCGGATGGATTCACTCAGACTTTCTGGCTGTGGGACCAGCCATCTGTAGTGTTTTAAAAGCTCCTCAGATGACCCTACTGTGTAGCCAGGGTTGAGAACCACTCATGTAGGGTCTTGTGGGGCGTGGGAGGGACTCTGTTTCACTCTGAGATGGGAAGCCAGTGACCTGTTTTTAAAGGCTCAGAGACGCCAGGCCCCCAAGGAGGGTGCTGTGGGAGGAGTAGGGAAGGGCATCGATGGACCCCACAGGCACTGGGGGGCTTTGGCCAGGAGCAAAGCAAGGAGGAAGCAGCCCCCTCCATGCATGGTGCCCAAGATGGGGCTGTCGTCCATTTACAGGTGAGGCTCTGGGGTCGGGTCACTGCCTGGCCACACAGAGAGTAAGGGGATTGTCAGAGTTGGAACCCAGCTCTGCGGAGCTGAGCAGCCCACCACCTGCCTTCCAGGGAGCTGTGGGTGGCGGGCATAGGAGGCGCCACCTCACCTGCGTGCTGGCCACACCTTTGCATCTGGTCACCCACAAGCATGACTGACAGGAGCCAGTAGGCATGAGTTAGCCAAACAGCACTGTGCCCCACCTCCCCCATGTGCCCCCCACCATCCCCCAGGCCCTCCTCTGGACCCCCCACCCTCCACCAACTCAAAGGGCAGCTTTGGGCACTGGGAGCCCTGGTTCCTGCTCCAACTCTGTGGCCGGCTCCGGTAAGAGTGTACCAACTCTCCTCAGCCGGGATGGATGGGGCAGGGCGCAGCTCGGACGGGGTCACAGATGCCGCTGGGCCACTGCCTTCGTGCCCGTCGACGTTTTCTCCCCTCCCTCCCTCCCTCTCTCCCTTCGTCTCTCTCTTTCTACCTTTCTCTCCCCCTTTTCCCTTTACTACCCGCTCTTTCTGCCCCTCCCCTCATTCCTCTTCCTGGGGTGGCCCTTAGTAACTCTTAAACCCAGAGAGCAATCATCCGGCCTGGCCTCTTCCCTAAGGAATAAGACTTTGCAGCCTCTCCTTGCTGTCCACCCCAAGCCTCAAATCACTAAGGAGTTCTTTTTCTGCCAAGCGTCATCTCTTTATCCTGCACCCTCGTCCATTTCCTAGCGACGTCAGGACAGGGCACGAGGTGCTGTGCTGCGGGCATGGGCCTGGGGGGTCGGCCAGAGCGTGGCCAGTGTGGATGCAACAGCGCTCCTCCTGCTCGAGGCTTCCAGCCCAGTTCCTGTCCTCCTTCTGAGCTCCTCCCTGCCTCGTCCACTCATGATTCCTACAAACCTGCCCCGCACGTAGACGCTACCTGCAGGAGCTCAGCACCACAGAGCCGGTCAGGACGCGGTCATTGCTTCCTCTCACAAGGTCTCCCTCAGTTACCTGGGGGAGAGGAAGCTGTCTGTGAGTCATTCTTTTAAAATTTCCCAAGTCTTTTTTTTTAATTTCAGACACAAACAAAACCTTTTTATGCCATCCATGTTTTCCCTGGAGGAGGCCTTGGCTGGGTCCTGGGTTCCTGGGGAGGAGTCTCGCACATCCATGGACACAACACACTGGCTCCAAAGTACATGGACCTGGATCAAAATCCCAGCTCTGCTGCTTGCAGGCTGTGTCACTTTGGACATGTTCTTAACCTCTCTGTGCCTCAGCTCCCTTCTCTGTAAAATGGCCGTAGTAACAATGCCTTTTTCGCAGAGTTACAAGGATTCATGAGAGAATTCCCACAAGGGGCCTGGCACAGTGTGCTCAGTGAGCAGGAGCACCAGCACCACTCTGCACATGCCCAGCCCGTCCCCACGAGCAGGAAGCCCAGCTCCCTCCCTCCCCCAGGGATCCTGGTCTTGGCATTAAAGTTGGATATACTCGTTTCTTCTTGCATTCTTAACCCTTGATAAGATCTTACTCTGAAAGAATGTATTAAGCATATTGTACCTAAAAGATTTTGCAAAACTTTTAGAAGATGACCTTAGCCCAGAGTTTTGTCTCCACAGAGCTTTAAATGTAGCAGGGGAAGAAAGCATGGAAAAAGCTTACAATAAAAAGCATTGGGTCACAGGTGTCACTCCCAGTGGATAAGCTGCCTTCTGAAGTAGTGAGCATGCTCTTCCTCGAAGCTTCTAAGCAGAGGCTGGGAGATCTCTTGCTGGGAGTTCCAGGGGCATGCTCTGCCTCTGGGAGGTCTTAGCAGGTTGCAGAGGAAGGGGCCACCTTCGGTCGGCCAGATCTGCACCTGGTCTGACCATATTCCTTGGGTCACTACTCTGCCAAGCAGGGCAGCAAGGTAGGGCCCACAGGTAAGAAGTGTTCTTCAGAGAAGCTGAGAGGAACGAACGTGGCAAACCGTGATTCTGAGCTTGCAAACACCGTCCCTCTGGATCCCGGGCTGCCCGGGGCATCCTCCCAGTCAGGCCACTTGCTTCGAGGCCCAACTGCCTTGGCTTTTCGAGACCCGGGACTGACTCTGGGGTGTTGGAATGAACTAACCTGGGATTCTTAAAGCTGGAGCTGATGAGGGTGGGAGGGCTGCCTCGGGAAGAGAACGTGGGCCCAGGGCCTGGGGCCCAGTACTGTTTCCTGCCTTGTACAGATGTCTTGAAAGGTCACCCTCTGCCTTCTGTGACTCTTCACCTCCGGCCAAGGGCTCCACTTGGTGATGGAATGGGCTGCCCAGCTGCAGGGTGCAGAGGAGGGGCAGGATTGGGGCTCAGAGGCAATAGCGGCAGTGCGGCATGCAGGGAGCTCGGGTGCCAGGCTGCCTCGGTCTGGACCCCAGCTCCACCACTTCCCAGTTGTGGGACCACATAACATGGCTTCTCCATGCCTCAATTTTCCCATCTGTAAAATGGCATGATTTTTGGGTTAATGTGGAGACTAAATGAGTTAATAAGTGGAAAGCACTCAGAATTTATTGGCCACATAGAAAGCGCCAGGTAAGTGTTGGCTGTTGTCACCTGTCCCCTAGGGCAGGAGCATGATCCCTAGACGGGGGAAGGGCTGTATGGGGCACAGGAGTGAATAAAGCCCCTCTGTCCCTGGGGAGCCACCCATCCCCCCAAACTGCCACCAGAGTTTGAATTCTGATGTCCCTTATCCTAACAGATGGCAAAGGACTGGGAGCTTAACATCTAAACTAATTTTTTTTTTTTTAATTTAACAGACATTTATTAAAAATCTCCTTGGCCCAAACCACTCTGGAACACTAGGATCCAGAAATAAGTAAACATGCTCTCTCCTCCAGGGACTTGCAGCCTGGTCGGGGAGAGAGAGAAGCTAATTGCAGAAATCAGGACAATAAAGGCTCCGAGGGGAGGAGGGGGCTCTGTTATCTGCATTTCACAGATGCTTTCGTGAGAGCCCGACTAGAGCAGCCCGCCCAGGGGACTTGCGACTTTGTGCCTCCCTCCGTCCTCTTCCTCACCCTCAGCTGCTAGATACCTATCAGTCCGGGAAGCCTGGAGAGGCAGCGGGACCCCACCCTCTAGGCTCAGGTCATAGTTGTGAGTCAACATGAAGAGGAAAGATCTGATCTCAGAACCTCCTGGCCCCCCCTTCCCCAGCCCCTCCCCCCTCTTCCCTGCTGCAGTGAGCCCCCAGCTGCCTCTGCCTGACTCCCTCCCGCCTCGTGTGTGCCCATCGACAGTCACATGGTAAAGCTGGTCACATTTTAGGTGTTTCCAAACGTTACTCCCCCACCCCCCCCATCCCCACCCCCAGGATACTCAGAAGAACTGTGGCCCAGGGCTGCAGAGGGACTGTCCCCCTAAGGGGATTGTGGTTCCTCCCAGTCGTCTCTAAGGGCTGTGCCGGTCCCCAGCAAGGGGCCAAGCCCTGTGTGCCCCAGCCCCACACTCTTGCTACTAGATCAAGGAGCTGCCTTTTCCTAAAGGCGCCTCCTCCCTCAAGCCTTTGGACTTCCAGAGTCTGTCTGCATCCCCTCTGCCTGGACAGCCCCTTCCACCTCTCTCAGCGGCTCCAGCTCATTCAGACTCACTGGGCCTTAGGCAGATGCCTTCTCTTTGCTGGGACTCAGTGCCTCTGTCCCTACAATGAAGGGGGCTGCAGATGCCCTCATGGTGTCCTTCCTGCTCCCAATTTTACCTCAACCTGTCTGTTCCCACTTTAGTGTTTTGTATGAGCCATTTCCCTCTCTTCTCCTTTCAAGGGTGCCTCAAACTCTCCTCCTCCAGGAAGCCTTCCTTGATCAACCCCATGAACACTCTTTATGTGCTCAGTTCTGTTGGTACCAAGTAGGCCTACACCAAAGCTGATGCAAGGGGCTCATGGGGGGCCTTAGCCCCTCATAACCTCCATCACCCAAAGGCCACTCAAATATACACAACCTAAGTGAAAACAGAGAGCTTAGTCTGGCAATGTGACTTCTAGGTAAATCCACCAACACCCCCCACTCCAATCTAGAACTTCTAACAGCCTCAGTCTGCGCTCAGGTCTCTAACGTCTGTTAGGCTGTGGGCTGCTGGGGTTGAAGAGGCCGTTCCCTCCCGGGTGTGGTGCCCCCAGGCTGCCATTGCACTCCCCAGTCGCTTTGTTAGGGTAATGACACCAGCTGTGACCAAGGGATTCCATCATAATTAGTGAGATGCTTTCATGCCCTGCAGCCCATTTTGCTCTGACCACACCCTGTGAGGTAGACAGGGCATGTACCCTTCTCCACGCACAAGGAAACTGAAGTCCACGAGGTGCGACACCTTGCACACGGTTCACTAAGGGACAAAGCAGGCCTCCCACCAAGCAGGGCTCGGGCCTCGCCCACTCTAAACTGCTCTGTCTGCCAGCTGAGGTTTAATCCTACCTGCCGGGGGAGCCAGAATAAGCAAATTCAATTCTAATCTGACTCGCCCAGCTGGTTCAGAATGCAGCCAAGCTGGAGAAATTTGGTCAAGCTCTCACTGCACCTCCCCTCTGCCACAGCGGCCCCTCTTGTTACCCCTCCCTGCCCCCCCCCCAGCCCTGGGAGCGTGGGGTCGGGGGAGTGGGGCCCCGGAGGATGTGAGCCTGTGGACGGGTGGGATGCTTTTCCTCCCCGGCATTGTTCTGCCCGTGCCCATTGTGTGGACGGAGGGCAGGACGTCACCAAGTCGCCTGGCAAGCTTTCAGCAGAGCTGGGGAACGTTTCCGGAGGGAACTGACTCGTCCTGAATGACCGAAGCCTTTCACGAGGCCCGGGGGAGCCTCAGAAAGGAAGGACTTGGAGCTCCTGGCTCCTGTCAGCCACCCGCAAGGCTGAGGCCCAGAGACCTTGGCAGACCTGTGGCTTGCCAGGAGTGTCTTGTCACAGGGCGTGAGGGGTTTGGGAATGTAAAGTGGAGGGGACTGGGGGGCGCTGGTGGCTGGGGGGCTTGGCTGAGGGTGTCGAGCGAGCCAAAAGGAAACAGTACTGTATTTCGTTTACGACACCTGACCCTAACCTGGGGAGGCTCACACCTGAGGCGGGAAGGGCCTGAGTCCCCATGAGAAGCCCCGCTGAGCTCACCCAGAGGAAACGCAAGGGCTCAGTGTTTGCTGGGGGCGAGTCACAAGCCTCGAGTTCCCCTGCGGGGCGGGGATTTCCTCGGTCCCTCTCCACCGCAGCCCCTGGGGCCGGGCGCTGTGCACCAATTTCCTGATGGCTCCCTTTAATCTTCACAGCGGGACCAATAGGCGAGTGTAGCACACCATCTCTCACAGACCAGGAGGCTGAGTCTCACCGGGCTTAGGGATTAGCTCCAGACCATGCAGCTACTTCGTGCCAGAGCTGGGATTTGAGCCCAGGACTGGGACACGCCAAAGTCCGTCATCTACAGCAGGAATTCTCAAACTTTCCTGTGCATAAGAACTGACTGGGGCACTGGCTAAGAATGCTGATTTCTGGGCCCTGTCCCCTCTCCCGCATTCTAATTCAATAAATCAGGGTGGGGCAGGAATCTGCATTTTCGCCCAAAAACCCAGATGATTCTGAAGTCGGCCACAGGGTGAGCCCGGCTGCCTTGGGGCTGGGCTCCACCTTAGGACTTCAGCCAAGCGAGCAGCAACTTTGTCTAAAAACACAGGAGCAGCCCCAGGCCCCTGCCGAGACCTCAAGAGAGGTGGTCCTCTCTCCTCTTGCTGTGGAGCAAACCCAGGGGAAGCAGCCTGGAGCCTCGGAAGGCAAAGGACACCCGCCTGCAGCCTGGAAAAGTCTCCCATCCCCTCGTCACATTTAAACCTGCAAGACAGGAAGCAGAGCAACGCCATCCGGGACAAGGGACCTCACTCGGCCCGCAGATGTTTGTGGGCCTCCTGTCACGGGAAAGGGCTCGGAATAGACACCTCCGAGACTCTGAGGTGGCGAGTAGAGCGGGTTCCTCAGAGCTGGTGCATCGGAACCTCTGCTTCCGAATTACCTGCACCTTTGCTGAGAATGCAGAGTCCTGGGCCCCACCCCAGACCTCTGTAGTCAGAATCTCTGTGGGGCAAACTCTGCGAATCTGTATTTTAAATATGCTCCCCAGCCAACTCTGAAGCAAATAGAGGTTTAGAACTGGTGCCTAGACAGGGCTGGCCTGTGCCACACTGGTTAAGCTTGCACGCTCCATTTCGGCAGCCTAGGGTTCACAGGTTCAGATTCCAGGCGCAGACCTACACACCGCTCATCAAGCCATGTTGTGGTGGCAACCCACATACGAAATAGAGGAAAAATGGCACAGATGTTAGCTCAGGGCCAGTCTTCCTCACCAAAGAAAGAAAGAAAGAAAGAAAAAGAAAGAAAATGGTACAGTGGGGCTTGAAGGGCACAGGTTCTGGAGCCAGAGGGCTCTCATTTCTGCCAGACTATTCACTAGCTGAGCAATCTGGGACCACCTGCTTCACCTCTGTGTGCCTCAGTTTCCTTACATGTAAAACAGAGATATTAACACAGGGAAAGCACTCGGAACACGCCTGGCACATGTTAAGCACACGGGAAATACTGGCTACTATTGCTTATTAGTGGAAGGATCTTGGACATGGGAGACTTTTAATAGTCTGGACTTCATAGCTAACAGCCTGTGTCCGTCCAGGGCCGTGTGCCCATCACGT